CATGTGCTGGCAGCAAAGGATGCACTTGCTGAAGAAACAAAGAGCCAGTTCTTTCAAGTTGCAACTAATAACATTTCCTCTGAATTATGCCGGATATCACCCTGTGATGAACTATATAAACTTAACATCCTTTTTGTTTGGAATTTCCCATTGGGATACCACAAAAAATATCAAGATTATAAGATAGCTACTTAAATATATTTAATGGATTGTATAATGTGCACCACATATACAGTTATTACTCCAAATTGACTGTGATATTTATTTTAACTTTACATACTATATCCTACAATATACAAGTAGAAAAAACACAGGTACACTGCAGTAGCATTAATTTATTTATTTATACGTTTTGCCTGTGTATTAACAGTGCACCCTTTATTTTGCATTTAAAGGTTAATATTCTTCATTCAAATAAATGAAAGTGAAATGTTAAGGAAGTTACTACTCTGCATGGTATAAAGAAGCTTTTCAAACTATTTGTTTTGTGTCAGGTGGGTCTTCCTAGTTTGCATGCCCCAATGCGAACTTTATTAACTTTATAAATATTACTAACTCATGTGAAAAAAAATCATCTATGTTCTTTAATCCAGTTACTCAGGCAAGAGTGAAGAAAGTCAGATTTCTTCCTTAAATAACATCTCCAATGCAGTCTAAAGTAAGTCAGGCTTTGGTTAAAATAACAAGTCCTTTTTTGTTTAAAAACACCTGTGATTTGTTTAGACACTAAATTCGAAAAGGATCATATTTGAATAGCAAATACGTGTTGTTGGCACTGTATATACGACATACAAAACAGACAAATGGCCTTTGCTTGCATCCAAAACAATGAAATTAGAAGCAGCTATGATCAATGAAGAATGTAGCTATTTGCGAAGGAAATGAAGCTGAATTGCAATGAAATGCAAAATGTCTCTAGAAGACAAGACCCGAAGGAGCATAAGAAAATGATGCAGGGGAGCGAGGTCACAAAATGGAGATTTATAAATATGCCGCTCATTGTCTCTGACACAGAGGGCACTAGGACAATCACATAGCTCTGTGTTTGCTACCGGCTAGCATTCCAGCAATATTTTTCTTAGCATTATGAGAAGGTTTTCACATCATGATGCCAGTTCAAAGCAACAAAAGGAAAGTGTAATGTTAATGACAGAATGAACAAATGAATACATTGTAATGTCTGAAGCCTCAGATGTATTTGAAAGACGCAGCTCATTGTATAACAATTTTTTGATAAATTGGAGTAGCGGACACCATTATGATTATGTCCCCTGCGACGGACCACTTAATTGGGTTATTAATATCTTAATAATCCTTCCCAGCAATGGCATTAATAACTAAAGATTTCGATCGAAATGAACAGATATATACTTTGCTGTCTGTGTAAAGAAAGCATCCATTTTTTCTTTTTGTGCTAAAATGTTACACTGATCTTACCTGGTGACTCTGCCTTGGTGCTGGACTCAAGCACCATTGACCCAGACTTGGCCGCAAACCCAAGTGACTTATAGTCAAGCTCAGTAACTAAGGCGCCCCCTGAGCCCTGAGCCAAATGAATGGTTTTTCTGCTGATTTGTGAAGTGCACGTATTGTGGGAAGATTGTTGAAAGAGACCTCTGTTTGTGTCTAATGATGGGCATATAAGAAAAAGACAGCAAAGAAGAAAATACTGCCATAGACCTGCTGTAGAAAGATTAATAGTCTTCAAACGCTGTGATATTTTAGTCCAACAGACCTAAGCTCTTCAACAAGGAGTGTAGTTCTGCCCTTCACTACTGTTCATGTACGATGTGTATTTTTATTTAAAGAGTTTAAAGCTCACGTGAAGCCAAAAAATAAAAACATATAATTATGCTTAAAGATGCCAACATCAAAAGACACTAATTACTAAATATGTAGCATGATGCACAATCTATAGACATTTTACTACTTCAAGGCACCTCTATAGAAAATCTTTTATTCATAGTAATTTCAGGTTATTTTTTTCTCTCTGAATGAACTTTGTTCATATGCATCTACCCAAGAAGCCATGAAGACATGAACTTAGAACTAAAGTATTTCTGATAATGACCCAACATCCTTCTGTTTATGCCTTGAATAAAGTACTTATATTTATTCAATAAAATGCCTAGCGGTTTGGAAAAAGAAATAATAATAATAATAATAATAATAATAATAATCTTTGTAGGGTTAGTTTCTGTTCCAGAAATTTGATGAATGTTTACCATCCATAATAATAAGCATAAAAGGTGGTCAGGATGAAATGCTTGTCATGAATTTGGATCACTGTGTGGAATTTCTGCTTTCTTACAGTGGCGACACTTTAGCATGCAAGACGGCAGCGAAACCATTAGTGCTGCAGAATGGGGATCTCTGCTGCTGTTTTACATGCTTCAGAAAACAAATCAAAACATTTCCCTGCAGTGCACACAGGGAAAAAAAAAGTGACAGTTTTTGGCTCAATAATTCAGTAATGTGCACTTCATTAATTGGCAAGCTGAGAGCGTAGCCATGTTGGGATATTTTTTGCTAATATAGAATAGTGCAGCAGTCTCGTGCGTACAATGTGATGCAATTATAATGGAAGTGAAAAGCGTTTGTAAAATGTGATGTGCTGACAGCCATAGTGCAATTATGGACAAAAAGTGAGAAAAATGCTTATGTGAGCCTTTGCGGTGGCTTGTGCACCAACAGCCCTTATTGACTTAAAGAAAACACGGTGCGAATCGTGGCAATTAACCATGTTAATTAATCTGAGCCAGAGCAATCTATGATAAATCCTTCAAAGGTTCCAGTCCGTGGAACAGAGTCGTGGGTTGTCAAGTCAGCTGGGGGGGGGGGGGGGGGGGGGGGGGGGG